CCAAATTCCAACCCATCATATAGATATAAAATTATACATACATGTACCAGGTACGTACGTGTATTAATTACTACCGTGACTTTACTAGAATTATACTCATTCTTAAGTAACACATGTTTGTTTGTTTGTTTGTTTTTTTTTTTTTATTTTTTTTTTTACAAAGCCAAATTCAAGCTGAAAAACGGACATTAATCTGTGTCCAAATGCTTACCAGATTCTCTGTTCTGCGCGTGCCTCTATCTGCTGTAAGAGTCGTAGCCGTAGCTTACATAGTCCTATGGTCTATGAGGCTTAGTAACAAAGAAACAAAACTGGCAGAAGATTAGACGTTGACAAACGTTTTAATCACTCAAGCTTTCAGGAATTACGATTAACAGAATGAAATTTTGTTGCCTTAATGTGAAAGACACAGGGTGCTTATATGGTCCTTTACCCTATCGTAAATAATATAAACGGTGTTTAAAATTCAAATGTTATTTTTATACTTTCGTTCTTTCTGTGAGGAAGTCGCAAATAAGAAATTACCAGTTTGTAGCTGCACCTTCAAATGTGCCAATTTTCACCCACATGGAGTCCAAACGTGTCAGAGATGCCCGGAACCTCGGCTCTGTTTGTTTGTGCATAATCAGCAACTGTTTCTACATGAAGCTAGGCGCTCGTCTAGTATAGACTGATTTCTATCTCCGATCTAAGCGAACATAAGTCTGTTGCAATGTAGCAGCGAACTTCGAATAACTTAAAACACCCGAAAATCTACCTTACACGTGTCTGAATCATGCGTAGCACGGATTCAACCTATTCACCCGTAAACAAATAAACAACCGATCGATCTCCTTTATCGATGGACTTAATCTGCATACAAAACAAACACACGTGTTTTACCATAACTTTTATAAATATATATATTCTGCTTCATATGAATACAAAAACAATTCTGCTAATAATGGGTCTCAATTTGTTTTTATATAAATTACACATAGAAGAAAAATATCGCTTTCCAAGAATCAATACACTGAATCTTTTATCCTATCATTCAACATCAAAAAAATTACTAGAACATGACTTAGAAGAAAGATAACAGCATTGTACGTATTTAAATATCCTAATTGTAAAATTGAACATTAACCATTATTTTGTTTTGAATGATTTACAAAAATCTTAGAAAGGTACAAAAGATTATCATGACATAGTATAATTAAGAGAATTCATTAGGTATTGAGTAGTTGACGTATTCAATGATTAGATGTACAAACGTCAGAACGGAGTGTTGTGTTTATCAATCGATATTAATGATCAACGTTACATATAAATCATGAACTTTATGAAGATAACGAACCTCTATATATTTGACGTCAAAAGTCTATAAAACAATACAAAATAGGAGCAGAGCAAACACGGGTCCCCAAAACATCAGAGGTGGGATCAGGTGCCAATGGGAAATTACTATCCCCTGCCGACCGATCACAACTGCTTGTGTTCCTTGTCATGATCGGAAAATAACGGAAAATCCGGTTTATATTTTAAAAAAACATATATTTTATTTCCCAAATATTCAAAGTATTCGTCATCTAGCGTATTACTGCCTCTGATGTTTTGGAGGTCCATGTTATATCTGCTCCTATTTTGTATTGTCTAATGGACTTTTGATCTTGAACATGTTGAATACTGTTTACATGTATAATCTCTATATGTTTCACATGAACATTAGAGGTGAAATCAGGTGCCAAAACGAAGCCAGTATTGGATGGTCCTGTTTACGCTTTAGAAATCGTAAAGTGAATCATAATAATTCCTTGTATACAATCGAAAGAAAGATAACTACATGTTTAAGATACAATTTACGTAAACAAAACAGGAATGTTGACACCAAGAATATGTATTATGTTGTGTATTAAGTCAATAATAATGTATTGCATAATGTTGATTAGATTCGTTTTGTCAACTTTTTAAATCGCTTGTTCTTGAGTTATTGTTTTGAAGATTATAGTAAGTAAATTGTTTATTATAGTGACATGTGTTATACAGTACAATGAAAACATTTAATACAATTAATATCCAAACACCCGGCCCATCGGACCTATATGTCACTTTTAACAAAATATATGAAAAATATATACACAAATATTACGCATGGCGTTTTTTATACAACAGAGATTGTCGGTGCATGTATGAAAGGTATAAATATTTTGAGGTCTGCCTGGGAAAATTTGTTAAAAGAAAATTTACACTATCTTGAACTGACATAGACAAAGTTGGGTTACATCTAATACTAGTAAATAAATCTGCTCTGAAATTGGAATATTCTGTACAATTTAATAAAAAGTGATACTCGTCTTCTATTTCATCTTTAGAACAAAAATTACATAACCTATCTTCTAATGATTCTCCTTTATATCTTCCAGTTTCAACTCTAATTGGTAAAATTCCACATCTAAATTGAGCAAGAATAGATCTTTGAAATTTTGGAATATTCATTTCTAAGTAGTTTTCAGTATCAAAATGTGTTTTAAAATCTTTATACATACGTAATTTAGGTAGTTTTATCTTTACTAGCCATTCATTCTCATAATTTAAAAGTAATCTTCGTTCAAATTCAACTATATCAAATAATAATAACCTATGATAAACATGTTCAGAATTCACCGATTCAAATAGAGATTTAATTTGTGACGTCCAGCTATATTTATTACACTGATTTAGTTCCCACAAGAAAACATGTTTTGTTATGCGGTTGTCCTCCATGGTCATATTTAGTTCTAATGAAATATGAGAATTACGATAAGATTTTGAAGACTTCAACTGCTTTAGTATAAATGTTGTCATTTCTGAATAGGGTCGGAGCAGTGGGGCTGCTTATTGCATTTATGTTACTGTGACATTTTTCATATGTCTCATCAAAATGACCTTTGAATTTAACGTCGGCTAGCCAAAAATCATATTGTTAAAGTGTGACGTGGTACCGAGATATAGAATCGAACTCATCAAGAAATGAAAGCTGGCAATCGGATTAAATCAAACGGTCGAATTAAGAATTTAGATGTAAACTACTTAAATTAATTGCATAGCAGTGTCTCTATATTTTCTGCGCACAGTAGCAGAGAGGCAATGCTTATATATATATTTTTAGTTTATTTTGTATTTATGAAATTTAGTGTGTTATTTAAAACCACATAGAAGATTTTTTTGTTTGTAGCTTGCTGTTTTATATCTTCAGATGGAGATGTTTTCACTTAGCAGTGGAAGGATGAATTTTTTAACCTATATTCGGAACTTAATGCATTTTAGCAGTGAGGCCCTGTGAGGGATCATTTTCGAACCAACACGTACTGCGACATAGAAACTCGGTTTATACGGTTTCATCCGAGGGGCCGGTATGTACGTCCCCCATAGTGACTCGCACCTGCGACGTGATTAAGGATCGACACCTTACTTTGCGACTCTGTAGCAAATGTCTTTACAAGTACCAATACACCCTGCGGGCGACCAGATTATTTTTTACCGTTTTATCATGTACTGTCGATTTCTTTAACATGTGTCATAGTGTATTTAATATATGTCATTTTTGGAATTTTTATGCATGCTGTACATGTAATATTGTGAAAACCGGCACGGTACCTAGCTCGAAAGATCGCTCGCACTGCGTTCGGAAGATCCTAAGTTCGAATCTCGGTTGCGACTGACTTAAATTGATGAAAAAAAATTAGATAGCAATTGTTTCACCATTCACTCGGCACCTAGAGTTTCGGGTCCTTTGGATGATGCATTTACTTAAAAATCGAGACCCTTTGTCATGGTAAGCGTTAGATCCCTCACGTAATTTGAAGCCCTTCACCGGTATATGGTGACGTCGACGTCACTATATAAGTGAAAATTTTCGAATTGGACGTAAAACAACATAAAATCAATCAACCACATTACATTATGAAAATGGAATCTGATCTTAGTACCTTTTCTGCAAAAGTAAGACACAAGGTTGAAATACTTTACAAAATCAAAATAATGCCCTTATCTTAATTCTAAAAATATTTTTAAGAGTCTTTGTTTAAAAGCAAGGATCAGAAACTCTTTCGAATTTTTTTTTCAATTCTGAACACTTGAAAAATATTTCTTTTGTAACTTAATGATTTTTTATTCCAACTTAGAGGGGATAAATATAAAAAAGTAATTTCGATAGGAAAAACAAGTTTTTCAGACCAAAAGACATTGAAAAATAGGCATATATATTTATTTTCATCAAGTTTTGATTTCTAAAAATATGGCGATAAGTAAGTGAATTCACTTCTTTAGATTATCCATTTACCTTAAATTAAGCCTTAAATTGAATTGTATGCTCTTTAACATGGTTATGGTACTTGGAGATGTTTATATATACATAATTAAAGCACAATAAGCACTAATTGTTTATCGAATTTAACATCCACAATTTAATTGACCGAATTTTGATGCATGCATTCAAAATATGCTCCACTGGTTGTATTGAAGGTTTAAACAATAACTGATTTGTAAGTAGGCTATCTGCTCAAAAATGCAATGTCGTTTGTGTGTGCAAAATCATTATCTATATCAATTGTCTCAACGACGTTTTGTAAATGTTTACTTGTTTATATTTCTCATAATACTCCGTCTGAAGTACAGTCACAAATTATTGCGAGAACTAAGCATAGGTTATGTTTCACTGTGGACTCTTAAATACCTACCGCTAAACCAGTAAGTTACGTTTGTATGTTATTAATTGTTCTTTGAACGCTTTACTCTAACAATTTTTCAATTTTCAATACAATATAATATCAATTCAAAATATTTCTTCCCTCAAAGTAGCATTCAACATGGACAAGACAGCTGTAAGATGGCAAACTAGGGGTTCCTTGACAACTTGTGTGAGAATAATGTATTAAAGTCATCGTGACTCTGGTGACGTAACATTCCTAGTAGGTAAAAATCGCACAGAAGTAAAAGCCCACAAGTTCATCTTGATGTGTCGGAGCAGCGTGTTTTTCGACATGTTTGAAGGACAAGAAAATAGTTTAAAGCAGGCTGTTGAAGTGGAAGACACTCAGAAAGACATATTTTTGAAGTTCCTGCAGTATGCAAATTCTATTTCTTATCTGTGATTTTTTTTAATTTAACTTATTTTATATATCCCATTCACCTTAGCAATCAAAACTAATCACCCCAAAAATGGATGAAATATTGCTGTAACAAACTAAAACATGATTAAATAGTAAACAGGAAGAGTTTAGACCGAATTTTTATCATATCTTTTAATACTGACTATTTGAAATGCTAAGGTTGATATTTCTATTTTTCACAAAATACAAATTTGAACGATATTTCTTTTCATTCAGATAAATTTTGTTCATGCACTGTATTTATTTATTCCTGAATGATTATATTTCTATATAATTATAAAAATATATATGTTTTTATTCTAATCTTCCAAAAATTATAATATGAAGTTAGACGGAGTTGAATTCATCTCTGAACAAAATAGGTAAGAGGCAGGTCAAACAAAATTATGATTTACCGTATAATTTTTAAATGGTTGTTTTCTTTCTTTCTTTCTTTCTTTTTTACAGATTTCTATACACTGATAATGCTCCTGTTACCGCAGATAACTTCGGAAACCTGATGTACTGTGCCAAGAAATATGATATAGAAACGTTGTCATCTTTTTGTAAAAGATCTTTACAATCATTCATCAAGCCGGACCTGGTTTGCAAGATGATGGAATTTGCATATCAATTTGACGACTCGGAAATCATAGATACATGTTTGAAAACAATTGAAGTCAACACCCCTAGTTTTTTATACACCGAGTCTTTTATGAAGTTGTGTTCAACTTGTGTCTATAAAATAACTCAGCATGATAGAATTTTTGCTCCAGAAGATGTTGTTTATCAACAGGTCTGTATATGGTCAGAAAAAGAATGTGCTCGACAAGAATTACCAGTCACCGCAGAAAATCAGAGAATGGTTTTAGGGGATATTCTTTTCGAAGTTCGCTTTCCAAATATGAATCATCAGTTCTTGGACAATATCGTATGTGAATCAAATCTTTTGACTGACAAAGATAAAATAGAAATTTTGCGAAGGCAGCTAAAATCAAAAACCGAAAAATCTTGCAAATTTAAGTATCACGAAAGGATATGGCGGTCTTCTAAAGTGAAGTCAAGCCAATTTTCATCAAAGATTCGCATGCTTAATTGTAAAAGTGGTAATACTGATTTTTCATTAAATTTCCACGTATCTTCTTACTCTGTTTTGGTTGGAATATACTTAAATATTGAGAAGTTAAGACAACATAACGTTCAGGATGTCAAGGTTGTTGGCACCATTTCGGAATCAAATGTTAGAAGAAACAGCAGCACAGTGGAATTTTCCATTCCATTTTGTCAAATAGAAGATAACCTTATGGAACTATACCCAAATTATTTCGTTCCAGTGAAAGTACAATCAAAATATACTATTTCAATTGGATTTGTTTTCAACAGTACATTTGGAGAAGTATGTAATGGCCTAGATATTGAATATAAACAAATAAAACAACATGAGACAACTGCTGAATTTAATGGTAAAGAATTATCATTAAGTAGACCTCATTCATTCACAGAAGAGCTTGAAACACTAAAAAAGTTCATTTTAATAACTGGATTACACCTTGTTTAAGTCGTGTTTGCTAATATGTAAATTTGGATGTCACCACTTCTTGGACCTGATTCCACATTTGATGTTTGGGAGGTCCGTGTTTGCTCTGCTCCTATTTGGTATTGTTGTATGGACTTTTAATCTCAAATACTGTTTGTTATCTCCACATTTTTCATTGGAAATAATTAACAGGCAGGAAAAAATGACTTTCTTATCGATACAAATTTATTGCAGATCAAATTCATACAATGTATACTTGAGCAAAAAACTATATTAGTATCAATAGGTGGAAAACTTTAGAAGTGATAAGAGGCCCGAGTTAAATTTCTTGTCCGGTCAACTTCGTATTTCTCCTCTCCGGTTTAAATTTGATTTAGTTTCATCTATTGAAGTTCTAAAAGGTTTTGTAGCTGAAATAGTAACAGTGGGCTAAAACGTTCTTCCTTGACTTTTCTGAATATTCTATGAAAAAAGTCAATTAAAGAAAATTTGTAATTTTTATTTATTAAAAGATATAATCATTGGCTTAAATTGTACAACAGGTAAAAGTCTTTTTAATAGTGTTTTTATCTTTTATAGTAACATTTGTATTTACTGATTCCGTGATTTTATACATAATATGACCACAGAATGTTCCCTTAAACTGATCAGTATTTCTTTTTGCAAACATATACATAATGTAGGCATTGAAAATCGGGGTTCACCTTTTTTGTTGGTTTAGCCCCCCCCCCCCCCCCCCCCCCGAAAAAAAAAACTTTAATAGCCCTCCTTCTCCACTTTTAATTTGCTTCCGACGCCTATATTGTAAGTTTCATTAAACTGCAAAATATCAATCAGAAATGAATAAGTCAGCTTTAATTATGGTGTGCAAAAAGAAAGTTATAAAAAAAATTGCTCCGCGGAAAACATGAAGGGATGCGCATGTTATTTGCAACTCAGGGGAACATGCATATTTCATCATGACTGCTAATCAAATCCGGGGCAAAAATATGCGTATAATTTTCAGGGAGGAATAATCCTAAATATTGAAAACGGTTTAAATTTACTTATATGTATTTCATGTATTTTTTCTTTTCTTATCATAATTTCATCATAATCATAATTATTTTATTATTATGTATTTTTTAAAATTTCGTTTAGTCTCTTTCTTTTGCTGGCCTATGAATTTTGGAATACTGTAGAAGTACTTTTTTCCGGTATTAAGGTACATTGATATTCTGATTAGAGAGATAACTCTTAATGACACAAATGTCTATTATTCCTTTATAAATTTGTAAAGTTTAAGTGCCTTTTTTTTGTCAAATTTTGCCCTGCAAGCCATGCTATAATTGTTTGTATTTTATTCAGAAAACACATTTCCTTTGGAAAATCATAACAGTTAAAGAAAAATTTTATAAGAGTGAGCAGAGGGTTTATGACCCTTAAGGACCCTCTTTACACTGCACACTAAAGAGTTCTGAATTAAAAATTCTAAAAAATAGAAATTTACAACATATTACTCAATTTGTAATGAATTCATGTATTCTTAACATTTTAAAAGGTCAAGATAAATTAACTGAACATGTTATTTATATGTATTTTCTCTATTGAAGTAATTAACAGTGACTTCTATTCTTTGAACATTTTTCCCGAGGGTAAATGCCACGCACCACACAGCGAAAATTAAATAAATAAGCTTAATATTAACTCCTTTATACAATATATTTTTCTTAATGTCCAAAGAAAAGTTTGCACTTGTGTAGAGAGGGTCCTTAATTTACGTTATATAGTACGCTGTCAAAAATTTTCAGCGGAAATATGTACAAGCGTACTTAACGTAAATGTAAGGCATATAGTGACAGTCTAAGAAATAGGCGTAATTTTTTACCTGCGGATTAAACAGAAATTGAGATTCTGCGAAATTATGACCCCGTGGAAAAAAGTACGTCTACAGTACATTTAAACCCAAATTTATATAAACACTAGGACTGTAAGATCCAGCTATGCACGACACTGTAACACTTTACAAGTATCTTGTTTTCAATTTTATAACAGTAGCTCTAAATTAAAAAGATAAATCCAAGTGTTTTACATTTTGCATATGGAAATATGATTCATAGAATTCGAAATTAACAAATGTTTGAGAGTTAGGGCTTTATATACAAACTTGCGACTAATAAATAGGAACATGATTGCAGGTAACACCCCAACACCAACAACTCAACCTCCCACCTCAGCGAGCTAATTTCCTCAGTATCGGGATGTATTTAATTACCGTTTTCGAATGAAGTGATCAAATTTATGTGTTAAGCCTGAAATCCTATTGACAATAGATTTCCTAAATATGCAGGAACTAATCATTCGCGTTTTTGTCAATGAATGTGAATTCTTATGCACGAGGAATATCTCTGTTTATACAATTTATTCTGACTTTGTGATCAGAATATGATTTTCACAATACTTGTGAAAATAAGTTGCTGGTCATCATATGTCCCTGCAATAAGTTAAATGAATAAAATTAATTGCTGCATCTATGTCACCTTTTAAATCTTGTATAATCCAAATGTCAAGATATTTTTATAGTACTGTTAACGATACTACGTTCAACATATAACGTTGTAGACATAAATAACGCCATAAAGGTAACAGTTTAGTAATATAAATGCAAATTTTGAAATTATTTAGCAAGAAAAAAACTAGCTAGAAGACAATACCATTGCAACCGAAGCAATGAAAAATGTAAGTTCCCACAGTTGGATTCGATCACGCGACTTAAGGATCAACCTCTTAATCTGCGTCTCTAAAGCAGAAGTTTTAACCACTGCTCACGCTGGCAATAAATACATTAGTGAAAAGTCCATTTAACATTACAAAAACAGTAGCAGAGCAAAATTTAACCTCCACAATATCAGGAATCGGATTAAGTGCTCTAAAAGAGTCAGCATCTCTTGCCGATCGATCACACTCTTCGTGTGTTCCTTGTCATTTTCTGGATAAATATGAACTGAAAAAATCTGTAGACAACTCAGTTTAAATAATGGACTCAATAATTGGTATGAAAAACGTCGGTCAGCATTTGACTCAATAATATTTTTTTTTCGCTGACAAGGTAATCATATCTACCATAGAACGTATCTCGTTTTAGAAATTGATCATACGTAGTACATCCTCCTCCGTATCGAATCAACTGAGATATATAAACTTCGTATGCAGGCGACAAAGGTATATTGCTGCAGACGTAAGGGAAGTTGACAATAGAAAAGTTAAAGTTATCACGTTTATCATACATCTTAGTTGTTAGATTACCATTTGCGTCTTTTTCAAGTAAAATATACAAATATGAAACAGATCTGTCAGGCTCTGTGGTTCAAAAGAAAGATACATTTGGCAGAAGTCATTGAACTGCAGGCTTTTCTGTGTATAACTAAAGCTCTGCAGTTTTCTTTTAAACGTGTTTTTTAAATTAAACATTACATGGAAATCGAACATGATTCATATTATGACCCAGCTCTCACCCAAAGCTTATCGGTTTCACAAAACTAAGGGATTTCTTTAAAGATATTAACATGGTTGAATAATTGTGGATTGTATATGCAGACAATATCTTATGACATGAACCGGAGAATACGCAAAATTATGACTATAAAAGAGATTGCGGAAATCTTGATTTCATCAATATGTCAAAAGCTTGCCTAGTTCTAGAAAGTGTTCATATGTAGAGAATCTTCTTGCATATTGTATCAACAAAACCTATATGCGTGTGATAAGGGTATATTGCTTTATAAATAAGAGAAAATAAAGATTATAAAATTAAAATCATCACGTGCACCATAGTTTTTTTTTCTTAGGTAACCATTGAGGTACCAGTAGTTGTATTGTAGAATATTATCATCAACAGAAGGTATAGATCGATGGTTAAATAATCCATCAAAAAGAAAAAAATTAAATATCCTTTACAATGTTTGACGACCTACACAATTACATAAAATTTAAAAAAAAATTCAGAATTTGTAGACGTTTTACATGAATACGCAGGAAGTATTTTCATCAGATTTCTTTCAGTTATGTAATTTTCTTGTGAATGCTGTTTTTAACACGATTTAAAAAAATCTTCAACAAGAATTAATACCATTTTAAGTGTAAACTTCACCGTGATTGCTGTTTTGTAGATGTTTATCCAACCAAAAATGCCCATTATTTCCTATTTTGATCAATATGCTTTTGCCATTCTAGATCTATGGGACAATTATACCATAGAAGTTTTGTGTTATGAGTCTTTTACTCTTTAGTTTCTTTCTGGCAATGATTGCAAAGATGTTGTAATTTTCGACTTCTAGGTATTATTATTATTATAAAACCTAATTTTGCAAAATAGTTTGAGTCAGATATGTCAATCAAATATGTTATTAAAAATACCGTGGTGTAATTGGTTTTTCCAAAAGCATAATAGGTTTGGGGGTTTAATTCTGCTTGTAAAAGAAATCGTCTGCAAACAAACAATTGATTTTCGCGGATGGCTTCTCTCAACACGTCAAGCATCACAAAAGTTAAAATGAATTGATCTATGCACTGTATTCTAGTATACTGTAATAACACGCGTTGTGCCATTTACGGTTAAACCTGTCTTATGTTAAAAATTCTCATCAAAATATGGGAGGTGTACAACGTATGTCAGAGTTGGTGTTTATGGTACTCTGTCGTAAATTGGGTACCTCGGAACAGGTAACCATGAGGAGAGATATAAGTGATTTCAGAGAAATGATGATTTCGTCCTTTGAAGCAAGCAAAGATTTTCATGTAATATTGAGTGGAAGTCATAAAGAAGGATTTAGACTGGATGAATCTGATAGAGACGCTATGATTTCGCTTGATAACTATCGGGTGATTTGGAATTTACCTCAGACTTGGGGTTACCACAGGCATACACTGTTTCTGTCTGACTGTTCCGAAAGCCCGCCTGGATACACGCTGCTTCAGTTACTTTTACCAGCCAAACTAACAACAAAAATATGGAAATCATGCTTCAATATGTATGGAAGATACTATTTATCTAGTTCTAAATTTAGACAAAATATGCTTTTTCCATCCAGGCCGGACTCTCACGTTCATGGACCATGTAGGAGTGGAAATTTCAAAGGAATAGAATTTGATGATGCTTACTGTATTCCATGTGATTTCTGGCCTCCATCTGCATTGGCATGGATCGACAGAAGTTACTCCTGGCCGAGCCCCGGTGTTATTGATGATATTATCAGAAAAGGATGTCACTTTGTTGCAATAGGGCACAAACTAGGAAATCATGAGGAAAATGAATGGAGAATTTCATTTGCTTATGCAGAACAACAACTCGTGTACTCCATGAACCATTGTCAATTTCTCACGTACGGTTTACTCAAACTAATTCTTAAAGAAATTATTACGAAAAATGTAGCAGAGGGCTTACTTTCCTCTTATCACATGAAAACAGCAGTATTTTGGGTGATTCAGCAAAATGTAATACCTTATTGGTATCCTGAAAATCTTCTGGAGTGCTTCTGGGTCTGCTTCAAACTTCTTCTTCAGTGTGTGTATGAAGGCGTGTGTCCTAACTTTTTCATCCCGAAAAACAACATGTTTTTAACTAAAATGGTTGGTAAATCTCAAAGAGAGCTATTCTTAGAATTGCATGGACTGTATGAGAAAGGTATAGCTTTACTGCAGCAGAGTTACTCTATCAGATCCTTTACTGTAGATTTTTTCTGTAATCCTAGACAATGGATCCCTTTTAATCAACAAAGTGAGGACTGGGAGATCGAGTTTGATTCAGACCTATTTAGAGAGATATGTAATAACGATGCAATATTTTCACAAAACCTCCACCGCTGTATGCACCTCCTACGATCGATGGAATATACGATAAATTTACGTCTTAAAAACTATACAAACTATCAAATTCTCATGGCACAGAAACTCACAGTTACCATTCTCCAAAGCACAGCTTTTTTGTTACACAGTCGGTGCGCCAATATAATTAAGAACAAGAAAATGTATAAAGCTGACAAGATATCATGTTATATGTTGAAACTTGCTGCAAAATTGGGGTTTGTTTCTGATAAATTATACCTTGTGATGTATTATTACAAGACTTTTAGACACATAAAAGCAAGAAAGATCCTAGAGATAGCAAATATCGAATTTCAGGAACCATATCTGATGTATATGAGTGACGCGGACGATATATATACTGCAGAAGTTGGGGGACAGTCTTTTTCAACAAAGATGCGGAGAGCTGTTGTAGGGGACATCAGGCTCTCTTCAAACATCCATTATATTGATGAATTAATGCAAGAGCAGCGTTTAATGGGTCAAATCGAGGGAACTATACATATATCTCCATTTGTAATGTTACTGATGCTAGAATTCTTATGTTACAGACAATTTGATAAACAAATCGCGGCAGTGGCCATATATGATTTAAAGAATATAGTTGCAGAGGGAGATTTTATTCGTCCCTGTACTAGAGACATATGTTGGCAGATCTTAGGAATTTGTCAACAGCTCCAAGGGGATCTTTGGGGTGCCCTGGAGTCATATGTCGAAGCAGTTAAAGAGTTTCCCTTCCACAACCTGAAAAATGCCACGAAGTTGAGGATACAAAGTATAGATAAATGAATCATGTAATTTAAAGAACTATAATTCTCCTAAAGAAGGACAATGTTTTTTTCACTAATAATTCAGAAATAGTGTGGGTGCTGTGAATGAGCGTTTTGGTATATCATAAATGTAAAGACGTGTATGCAGAATTATTTTGTTTATTATTGAAAAATACAAATTTAAAAAATATACTAGCTATATTATACAAAATAAGGAAATGATAATGTTTGCCAGACTTTGCATTTTCTGTTTTTTCGTACTATGCAAACTATGAATGAATCATAATGCGTTTTTTTTTGTTTTGTTTTATATACGAAGATCTCACGTGTAGAGATATACACATGGAATCTCACCAATATGATGTCACTACGAGGCTAAAGAGATGAAAATAAAATAATAATGATATATGGCGGATATTAAACACTGAATGTATTTCTGCTGTTGTAAAGCATTATTAAAGAATTTGAATATGAAAATAACGAATAGTAAAGTTAAGAAGATCATGGATCATAAGATAACACAAATCAGGAGCAGAGCAAACACATAATGTATACAGAATACGTGCTTTCTGTATGTTTTTTTTTTATTACTTATTGGTTTGAAAGTAAAAAAGGATTGCGCTTGGGTATATTTTTCATGAAGCGCTGGTCTTTGTAGTGAAATATGCACGTGACAAGTTTGATTACATACAAAACAACGATTTACGCAAACCAAACATTTCAGTTTACATGTATATCAAATTTTTATAATTTTACATATATATACGCTAAATTTTATTTGATAATTTTTTCGAACAAAGATACAGAAAGATCTAGCGAAGGTTTACCATGCATCGTTTTACTCATTCCGACAACAATGCTTTGCAGCTCTGTATACATGGTATAATTGAACAAGTTGTTTCAAAAGTAGCTTGCTTTCTACTAATTTTGTTTATAGTATGATATAAAATTAACAAACAAATTGATGAAACAAGAATATCACCAGTCTCGTTTAAAGAAGTCATTTTGTAAGTTCTATGATCGATACAATGACCTTGTCAGCAAATACAATTTATCATTGAGTCGAAATTTTGACTGACGTTTTTCATACTAATTGTTAGCTCATTATAGTGGAGTGACAAGACCATCAAAAATTTGACTTTAATGTACCACCCTACCCTACGTCTGATTTGTACTTTTTTGGTCAGATATATTATCAAGCAATAATTTTTGCCCGGTCGTAGAAAATTCTATGGTCAAAATTTAAAATAAAAGGAGATCAAAGATCAACAATAAATGAATTCTGACCATAATATTGTACATATAAAGAAAAGTTCAAGAATTCGTGAAAATGATGTATATTTGTATAGGAATTTTATTTATTCGGTGAATATGTTGATTTCATGGAAAAGGAACGAAAAAATTAATAAGAATGCCCGTTTGTCTGTCTGTAAAATGAGAGGTTTGTCTTATAGTATTTTATTTTAACTTAAAAGGTTTAATGCTAATTTACGTTATTCTTCACGTACAATCACGTAATATTTAGTACACAAAGTAAAGAAAAATAAAATCAGGAACAACAACACCCATCACCACTAACCCACCCACCCCCCACCCCCCCAAAAAAAAACACCCACCCCTAAAAAGACGAAATATGATCATAAATTTTGCACTTTTTTAAATATGATATTTTTATTAAACCTTTTTCATCTGATTCATTATTTTTTAAAGAAATTGTTCAGCGCTTTTTAAAAGGCATTTTTTTTAGTATAAAATTCTTCTAGAGGTCATCCTTGCTCTCACGTTGAATTTCAGTACTCCGGTCTCATCCAAAGGACAGACAACAGAATATCTAAAGTTTAAATTTATTCATTTCTCTGTCTAAAAAGGTCAATTTTTAATCAATGAATGTTGTCTATGATTTGAGAATTTACGTTCAAATTGGTGAACTTTTGAATAAACGTTTACTCATGAATTAAGCAGGTTATATTGTAGAGATTTGGGGCTTTTGAAAGATTTTAAACACGTATTGGTGTTAAAGTTGCAATTCTTTGAAAAGGGGTGAAGATCGAGTTAAATTAATGACGTAATACGTTTGCTAGAGCTGTAATTTCTATTCATTGGTTTTCATGTACACGTACATATATATCTTTATTGTTAACTTTTCAAGAATATATTTCATTTGAAAACTATAAAAGTAAAAACTTTGTAAAAGAGCTACACTGTAAAAGTAATGATAGTCGATCCTTAAAAAGATACTTCAGGTGGGTAGATAACAATTAAAACAGTGCAAAATGTTGATCACGTGGCAATAATCACATTAAATGCATGTCGTGCGTGGCTTTTTTCATCTGCTGACTGGAAATATCTTTGAATTTTGAAAAATAAGGCTGATTGCTTAAATACTCAGTAGTCTTTGTCATTTCATCAGAAGTCCTAAAAAGGATGTTGAAAAGCCCTTGTTGTTTCTGTGGTTGGTTAAAGATACCGTATATAGTACTATGTCTTCTGTCTCCATTGCAATTTGTAAAACTAATATTAGACAATTAATTCTTGAAGCAAAACTGATAATTCTTTCTCAAAAGGAAGTATATCGAAAAAACTTTCTCATGATAGAACAAACCACGAGTTTTCCAAGCAAAAACTTTAGTGGATTGCTTTTACGGTTCTGTTTGATTCATATCTTCCTTTCTGGTACGTCTTTTCAAAAGAAAACTTGAGTACTGTAAGAAAAATATGATACCCCCCCCCCCCCCTCATAAAGGATTACAGTAACAGAGCTCAATTTTTGGCAGTATGTACATGTAAATGAGGAAATGCGTAAACAAGATATGTATCCCTTACTTTGAATAATGACAAAGTCCATGTTTTTGCTGTAGAAAACTCTAAAATTTAATATATTTCCGAAGGAAACATGAAATAGTTTCTGTAAAGTGATGGACAGTCTTTAAGATGAAATTCTCTTTCTGTTTCTTACTTGCGTTAATCTGTATTGCTTATGAAGTAGAAAGGCAATATTCAATCATGCAAGATAATTTGTTCAAACAAGAATGTAAAGGAAAAGTGTCATGTTTGTCTTTTACGTATTTTTTTTAAATTGAAAAAAAGGAAAATTACTTTCAAATGCTCATTAATTTAAATTCAAACTGAATATTAGCATTATCTTATTAATAATAAAAGCCAATTTAATATATTTAACAATATTTTGATCGATGGAATCACTGTCATAGACATAATGGGATTCTATAATCCGTTCCCAGTTACACAAAACATTTTAGATCAAGTCGAATACAAGACTTAGTGTGAGGTTATCTTGAAAAAAATTGCGGTTTATTTGATCAGAAATCATTGTCTTATAAATCTTTCTAACGCTTAAGTAAACATTCGTTATTAATATTGCATGAAATAATTGTATTGAATATATTTAGTTGAAATTAACGCAGTTTCTATAACAAAACACAAGTTTTTTTTAAAGAGGGGGGGGGGGGCAAATAATATTCCTGATTAATTTTGCATTGTAAATTTAGATACATGTACCTGTAGCTATCCTATTTCACACAAATTAGTATTTTTATTATTAATAATTAATCTTTGAAAAAGATTATTATCAGCAAGGTAAAATAAGCGACTTAAATACCCCCCCCCCCTTCTTTTCACTTTCATCGCAAGTTTAAAAAAAATTGACTTGAGAAAACTCTACGACCGGGCCAAAATGTATGAGGAGGGGTGTCTCTTTTATAAAATATAACTTTCAGCCGTAGGGTATGCCGGTCCATTAAACTCGAAAACTAAGCATCTTTTTCTAGGATTGTAACTCCACTATTTTAAATACACTGAATGAAGACTGAGTATCCCGTTATAGTCCTTCTTTTAACAAAATTCTGCACTTTCATTTTAAGTAAAATGTATTTTATATTCTTATACAATAATCAAATTTACTAATCTCTTGCTCTACAGAATACTTATTTATATACAATATGATGAAAGTTACATTAACCTGATTTAAACATGATATATTTTTTATTTCATTTTGTTTCATACAGAACAGTCTTTGATTTAAATTAATTCAGCAGCACAGGTATGAAATCTTAAAAGAACAGTAGATTTTGTTGTTTTTCTATTTTAATCATCATACTACATGTATTAAGACAAACACTAAAAAAGCACAGTTCACTGAATAAAGCATCCTGGAATGAAGTCAATGTGGATAATACATTTAAAGCGTCTGCAATAACAGTATGAACGAGCTCAGGGAGCTGGTGAATCACTGATGTAAGGTAGCGCAATCAAAACATGTTTCTTGATATATTTTGCATTTCTATTTATACTCATCAACATGATCAAGGTTTTGTTATTCTATTTCGCATTTCTTTTATGTATTTCCTTTGTATTTGGAGGGTGTATTTTCATATCTCGCATTCCCTTATACATTTCGCGTATCTTTTTTGCTATATATACAGGTTTGCCTTATATATACAGTTAGGCTGTAATGGGTTTTCGTACATTCGTGTATTGCGATCAACAACTAATTGAAGGTCATAGATTTTTGAGTATTTCTGGAAATTTTGAGTGAAACACAGGGAAATATTGTTAAGAAAATATTGGATGCCATGGGTAACGTCTCTTAGATATGTAATTGCTTATCGTCGTATGATTTGAAATGCCACAATCTTTCAGCATGTTTACTTGTAAGTTAAAAAATTTATTCACAAATTTATAAAGAATATAAAACTGATCTTTTTTATTAATGATATTCTTTTTTCGAAAGCTTTTTAGCTCACCTGAGCTGAAAGTTCAAGTGAGCTTTTCTGATCACATTTTGTCCGGCGTCTGTCTGTCTGTTTGTTTGTCTGTCTGTCTGTCCGTCTGTCTGTAAACTTTTCACATTATCGACTTCTTCTCAAGAACCGCTGAGCCAATTTTAACCAAACTTGCCACAAAGTATCCTTGGGAAAAGGGGATTCAAATTTGTTCAAATGAAGGGCCACACCCTCATTCAAGGGGAGATGATAGGGAATTAATGAAAATTTGGTAGCATAT